ATTGTTATTGCAACGTAAGCAGTTTAGCGGGTGAGTTCGGGCGAAAAGCAGGTGAGTTCGGCAAAAAGCAGGTGAGCTCGACGACAAGCTCACCTGCTCTAAACCAATCAGAAAGCCGCTTTTAACACAGGTATGGGATAAGTTATTAACCCTCACTAGCGGACGTCATCTGACCCAATTGAGTCTAACCACTGTAGCCTGACCTTAACTTGTCTGGCCTTCTCTCTATTCACAGTGCTGCCCAGAACTCACCACACGTTGCCACTCCCTTATCTGACCTCATCTCACCGCAATGGACTACATATGACCCAATATCACCTTGCACCTGTCCTGATCTTACCCTAAATGACTAGACCTCACCCTGCCTGGTATTAGCGAACATTAGGAGACATGACAAGGACGACAAGAAACAGCCTTAAATTTTACACTTTTAAAATTATAAAGAACTACTTTCATTGAGAACTTCGACTGCAACGACGGCGGCTATTTTCAATAACATATTAACAGAGGCGCCGGAATATCGATAATTGCGGGGGCAGATATTTATATATTCGTGTTCAGACTGTAAAAACAATGATTTCAAAAGAATATATGTATATCCCCCCCCCCCAATTATCGATATTCCGGCGCCTCTGCATATTAAATTTCAAGCTGCATGGGACAACTGCTACTTTCAACTGGGTCCTAGAACTTTTCTTAATCATTAATCCCGTTTTAACCTTAATCCTCATAACTCTCAATCCTGAAAGTGAAACTGTATTATTTTTCATACGATGGATAGTAGACAACAGGTTTTCTTCTGCAATCGTTTTGGTTCAACGAGTTTATTGAGTTTATTTGCCGTCCCCGTCGCGTTCCCGTTCTACATGCTTAAGGTCGCTATATTGTCTCCATTTACATCACATAAGCTCACCTGACCAGCTAGATCTGAACTTATCACACTTTCTTAACCTTGTCTTACTTGCTAAACCTTACCCGATCTTATCTGACGTCAATGGAAATGACTTCATCTCGTCTCATTTCACCTGAAGACACCGCACCTTACCCTACCCCATCTAACATCACTTTAGATGATGTTAAAGTCAACGCTCTGCCCAAAGTGCCCAATAGCAACGGTTTTGTCCATCCGTGACTTTAACAATAGGACATTTTGAACATTCCTATTGGTTGACTTGAGAAAAATACAATACGCACGTGACGATGAAAGACTACATTTTTGCATAAACCTGAACAACATAGATAATAAGGTTTATTGTGATTTTATTGTAATGCTAACGAGTTTCCAAACCATCTCCTCTATTAACTATGGTGATACTCGCTTAGGTTTATTCGTTCCAGGCAACCAGATATGACATCACAGCTGTTTACGCCTGCAGCCTGGTTTATCTAAATGAATGCAAAGACCAGTCGAATTGGATTAAAATCCATCTAGTCCTGCTTACTCTAATGCTATAAAACCCTGATTAGTAACGAATGTGTCATACCTTATGAAAAGATTCTAAATATTTATTGTATGACTTCGGTGGAAATCGCATAGTCTAAAAGGGAAGGTTATTATAATAAAAATTAAAACAATATAGTAGCATTTACACTTTGAGTCCAATAAATAGCTTGTACATGCGAAGAAACAACTATTTAGTTTCTTATTATGTTCTTTTTGAAGAGTACAAACTCTTCTTTACGGAAAATAAAGGTCAACAAAAGCAATCTTTTTACTTTCGTGTCCATTTATATACAATTACTTTATGGTTTCCGTGTTTGGATGGCCTGATCCAAACACGCGGGAATGTTGCGAGAGTTAAGAAAAGCGAGCGAAAGCACGAGCCGAAGGCGAGTGATTTTGCCCGCTTTTCTTAACTCGAGCAACATTCCCAAGTGTTTGGATCAGGCCATTCAAACACGGAAACCATAAAGTAATTGTTTTATAAAATAACAACAACACGATAGTCTTCCGTGTTTGGATGGCCTGATCCAAACACGGGTTTCGACCAATCAGAACACGCGTTATATACATGTTATTTTATAATGGTAATTCCTGCATTTTGATGGCGAGTTAATATATTCTTTTTGCTGTACAATGAAGCGATCATCCAATGTCAAGAATTCAACCACTCAACCGCGATATTTAAATATGTATCATTTTCAACTTCACTTGGGATGTGATTGTAAAACTCTTTGAAACACAGCGGTCGTTTTAACCATATTCACTTTATTTAGCAACGAACTCACCTTTACAGATTGGTATATTAAATATCCAAACAAAAGTAATTCTTTGGTGAAAAGCCGCTTGTGGCTCGTTGGTCGAGTAGATGTCGGTAATTTCAGTCCTAAACATTGAATACAAAAAATGGCATATAGTTTGTATATACTGTACAACATGGCTATTTTTCCTGACACGTATATACGGATGAATAGCGACGTATTTTAAAGCTTTCATGATCATTTTGCGCGATTTACACTTTAAGTTTTGGAAATCAGTAGACCCATTTCAGACGGCGTTCCGTTGTATTGGCCAAATTAACATGTAATTGACGAAATACTGGCGACGAGTTAGGAGAATCGGTGACTCCTAGTACAGCTGGCTTCATGGAGCGACATATAAAAATGGTAGTTGTATCCCCATCAATAGAGAGTTTAAGTTCGACTTCTGATACCAATACCGATACTATAACAACATGTCATGCGCATGCTCTCTGCTCGCAGGAAGCACGAGGACAAGCGTATTGGAAGTCACCACTACCGAAGTCGGCCTTGAATTGGAAGTCGGGGGAATTGTAAGATAAACTCATATAAATCGGATATTTCATAATTTTTACGATAAACATGTAAACTATTTGTTTATTAGCATCGCCTGAGTCATGTTTTAGTCGGAATTTTAGCTTAGCTGCCGTTTAGTATACCACACATTTTCGGTGACGATTAATGTGTTCTATTAGAACTGATGAGAACGGAAGTGAAAACATTGGTATCGGTATTGGTATTGGAAGTCGAACTTAGGCCCCGTTTACACTATACCGGCTTGCTATCGGAGTGGGTCAAATTTTGTAGGTATCGAAAGGCTGTGAAGATTTTTAACCTCAGAGACCCAAATAAACATGCCAATTCTGTCAAACTATTAAGCATTTGCTACTAACCATTGCTCCTTAACGGCAAAAGAAGATGTCGTGACGAGCGAATCCGGTATAGTGTAAACAGGAACTTAAACTCTCTAATCTTATTATTGGTATACTACCTACACTGGCACAGACCGTGACGTTGAAGCGAGATCGATTCATTCGACTCTTCACCCATGCGCCAAACCACAGTTTTCTATTAACTGTGGCCAAACGTAACTCAAAATCTACTTTAATTAATTGTACTTTAATTAAGATCGGTATGATGGTCACCTTTGGCAACAACCAAATTCTGCTCGAAAATGTAAAGACAATGCACGTGCGGGAGGCTAGTAAAAGCCTTTGTTCACCGAACGCGCTATACAGGTGTCCAAAAAAACCCCGAAAACTATCGAAATAAATGTATTGTTAGAAATGAATGCCGCAGCACTCTGCTGAACCCACACGTGCATCAAAGCCTGACGTAAGTCAATTTTATGCATAAAAACCCGTTTAAGAAGCTGTTTTAAATTCCCAAGAGCGGAAAATCGTGGCTTTACAAAGATATTTTAATTTCTTAGTAAGTCAATATTTAATATATGCACCATTGTCAATATTTTACGCATCTTTGGCACTTTGCTTTCGGCTTAGTGCTAGGGCATTCAAATTTTAACAATACGTTATTTCAATGGTTTTTCGGGGTTTTTTGGGACACCCTGTATACACAGTAGTACTGTACTTATGCCACAATGCCAAATGGCTGCTTAAAGTTCATGGCAACCTCGTACCCAGGACTTTTTGCTTCCGGAGTTGAATGGTCAGTGAAAAAGGCCCTGGCTTCGGCTGGTCTGTTTTGCAACCTGATTGGTCAATGATTCTGAATGTAATTATTCAATATATATGTAGGAATAATTATTATTTTGGTGGAACGAGAGTAGAATGACAAATTTATAATTAGTTCTTAAAGGACTAAAGTATTTAGTAAATAAGATTTTTGACATTTCGCTTGAGATACAGCATGAATTAGGGAAAGACAAAACAACACGAAACAATTTGGTCCAAATTAAGTCTTTGTACATTTTGTATACACGAGTTTTTGCTTCGGTTCAACATACATTTCTCACATGCGTCGTTTATACATCGTTCATTTCAGGAAATGTACAGCGTTATAGTCAGATTAAAACTGTGATACGAATATATTTGGTCATAACACGACTTATATAAACCAAACGCTGAAGCGGTTTTGCCTTGTTTGGTTGTTCAGTAAGAATTGAATCACAGGCTAACCAGGCTCTGAATATGTTTAAAAGCCATCAATATTACGGGCTATGTTGCTGAATGAGGTGCAAACAACGAAAACCGAATAATTTCTCTTTGATTATATACGCCGCATTGAGTTTGTTTGCCCCTGTGAGAAATTAAAATGTATATAGTTATGCTATATACGTACTTATACGCATAAATTATATTAGTATAATTACATAGGTGATTATTGAAAATTCTCCACGCTGATTGGTTGCCTTTGAGGTGATTATTACGCAATAATCACCTAAGCGATTTTCAAAATGGCGGCCGAAGCCTTTTTGTCAATTTAATGACGAAGAAATGTGTATTTTCTTATTTTTTCCAAATAATCACCGATGAAATTATACTGTTAAAACAATTACTCACCTCAGGCTCGGTGAATATCGTGAATAAAAACCTCGACTTCGTCTTGGTTTTTATTCACCGATAATCACCTCGCTTTCGGCGAATCAGTTAAATAATTGAACACCCCAAATACTGGAGATTTTGAGGTCATGTGACCGGCCGATGCCAGGACCATTTTCGCTGACCGGAAGCAAAATGCCCTGGGTACGAGGTTGAGTTCATGGATGTCCGCGAAATAATGGGAAAAATAATGAAAAAAATGCAACCACCATTACAGTACCTTAGATTGTACATATCCTTTATCGTGGTCGATAGTCGCTTCAATTACACTGTCTCTTATTGCCTAAATTTTAAATTTAGTTAATAAGACATTCGTGCATTTTTAAACTGTATGAAGAACAGTACGACGAGTCAAAGACAAACAAGCTAACAACCACGCAATAATATGATATATGCGTGTCAAAATACAGACATGTTAGGTATTGACATCTAACAAATATATTTGTTAAAAATCCCCAAGGTGCGGTACGCTTGCTAGACAAGCCCTATCTACTGTACAATGCTGTATAGAGGAGGGGGTAACCTATACACAGAATCCTTTTCCGACTGACAAACGTAAAGTTATTGCAGAACAAAAATTAATTTATACAATACACAAAAACTTCGAATCCACAGTAGATTTGATTTATCTTCAGCAGTGCACAATTTTCAAGATATTGTTTTTAAGTTGTGTACAGTTGTCAAAAGATCGATCAAAATATACAGCTATAGAAATATACAATTAAAGAAATGTTATTACAGCTTTGCACTCTTTTTAAAGGAAAAAGTTTTATTTTATAGTCACCTATACATTCACTTGCAATCGACCGATATATAACTTTTATCTCCTGTTCATAGGTGCAGCATCTGCATATAAATGATCACAAATACAGTAATGAAACTAAAACCGAAGACTGACACAGTGCTGGAAAATGTCCTGTAGCGCCACTGCCAGGAAATCTTTAACAAAATATCTTTTCAGGAAATTTTCTTGCATCTTGCAGAAACCTTTTTGTCATATTATATACTAGAGTGCCATATACAAACTTCCTCCATACTTTATATAGAACGTATGGTACAACACATGATGATATAGGAAATTGTGGTGCACAATCTCAACTCGCAAAACGCTTTTGTATATACAGCTATTTCAATTAAAGTTGTCAACGAGCAATGCGGAAAAGTCGAATACGAGCGCGAAAGGCTGCTGGGAACCGCTTTGAAAATTCATTAATTTGTTAGCGATTCCCAGCAGCCTTTCGCGCTTGTATTCGACTTTTCCGCTTTGTTCGTGGTACCCTGGCCCAGAGGTTTTTTTTAGGTTTGGCTAACGCGAAATGCGAGAAAACGCGCGAAGAAAAAGGAAAAACCTCTGGTGAATTTGTTAGCGATTCCTGGTTCGGATAAAGAATGCAAAAAATAAATAATGGCTTAATGCATCATATTCTAAAAATATTATCCAATCATTATCCTTGACGCCAGGCCGTCTAGACAGGGTTTTATCGCATGTTTACTGTCCAGTGTAGGCCTGCCCATTTGTAGCAATATTCATTCTCCTGAATTTCATTCAATTTAAAACATCACATCTATTCAAATTAATAGAAATATATATTTATATTCATTCACTTTAATCTTGCAATATATATTCAATTTAATCCTGCAATATACATTCAAAAAAATCTGTATTTAAATTTATTAAACACACCTCTTTGGGCCGACGTGAACTTTGTCTTTTAATACAAAAGCAGGCAAATTTGTCTTTTAGATTTCAAATGAAACCATTCCTCTCCATTTCGCATTTCGAATAATAGACTCGGGATTACAAAATGCGAATGTAAACTCTCCATCTAGTATTGCCTTCTCGTCCTCTTCGTTTGACAGTGAAGTAACACGGCATCCACGCTTTCTTAGTTCACGGACGTGAGAGTCAATGAAAGAGTTCAATTTGCAAATGACTATTAAGATGGGTTTCTCCAGAAAATTGTGGCTTTTGCCAAGTCGTCGTGCTACTCTCGGTGTTAGAACTTTGGAATATTAAACTCTTCCCATAACCGATAGCAAGATGCAAATACATCTTTAATGTATCAAATTGGACAAGGCGCGGTATTGATGTTCCGTTAAACTTTTAATTCAGGAAATTTATCATCAATCTATCTATTAATGCAGCCTATAAAACTACTTCTTTCAACTTTTGTTCGTTTATTTAATAATATAGACATTTCAAAATTCAAATGTTTCAATTCAATCAAAACACGAAACGCCTGCGAACAGGCTATGATGTTTACAATATCCAATCAGAACACGTAGTCTATCGAACCTATAGTCAGCAGCCAATCAACTCTTTGCTTCCATTTTTGAAAGTTATGTGTGGAACGTGAACCCAAAAACTACGCCAATTTCACCAGAGGGTTATTCAAAACAGGCGAAAATAAATACCCTCTGGATCCAGGGTATGTTCGTGGACAACCTTAATTGAAATAGTTGTATATACAAAAGTGTTTTGCGAGTTGAGATTGTGCACCACAATTTCTTATACTATCATGTGTTGTACCATACGTTCTCTTAAATCTATATAAAGTATGGAGGAAGTTTTGCATTTGACTTACACAGGAAATTTCTGTTTTTGAATTTTTCTACCAGGAGGAGAAATATTTTCTCTTGGCCTGGACTAACCTTCCCGTCATTATCCCGACAGCACAATCATGCATGGAATTATATATATTCAGTATATCTCACAGTGCTAGGTCAGACACAGTAACGTAGCTATAGTACAATATAGAAGCTATCGATTGTAAATCATCAATGGTGTGCCTAATTAGGAAGCGAAGGTTGTTGTTTAACGAATTCATGTTCCTGACGTTTAGGGGCAAGGTGAGAGACAGTAAGTATAAAGAATGTTCCAATGTCATACCTTGGCTACGATGAACTCAGCGTCCTCGGGACTATCCAACTGCAGCTTTGAAGGAATTTCTTCCAAAGATATCTTGGAGTATGACAAGATCATCATACGTATGCCAGTTTTGATGACGTTGTGATGTAGTCTAAGTAATTTATAATGCAGCAATATCATATATCAAATAATTATTTTTAATGATTTAACGGATTTTTGGGCATCTCGTTCGGTATAACTAAAGGTACAGATGGGGTATTTACTGTATAGATGGAATTTTCGAACGTATATTTATATGCATTTTAGACCTTCCCGAGAGCAGCTGCGAGAAATGCAACTCTAGGTCATCCAGCATGAAACGAACCTGCGGCCTTGCGATCCCGATGCAGCGCTCTGACCAACGCTTGTTTATACAACAACCTGAGGTTAATGCACGACAACTAGTAGACTCTACAGCTCAGTCATCTGAGTGCTGTACCGGAATCACAGTACCGTACACAGTAGGTTCATCGAGACATCAGAATATCTGTGTTGTTTGAAACAAGAGTTAACTGAAAGCACTCTTCTCGCATGCAGTTCAAGAGGAGAAAGGCATATATGCACTTATCATTGTGCCAAAAATATCAATAACATAATAACTCAGCTATTCAATATGACTCATGTGTCACTTTTCGCACATTATACAGTAAATTTAATAACACAAAATTAATCCATACTTCGTATTTTGGCAACACGTATAATGATTTTTTGTCTGGTAAGACGTCATGCATGCTAAATTAATGATTTCTTGACAAAATTTACCGGTTAACTTAGACACAGTTTAATAAAAGTTTGATTACTGTGAAGTGTGGTGTGATGGATAGAAACAAAAAGTACTATGTTGTCAATAAACTGCCTAAAGATATTTGTGTGGTGTTATGTAGCTACTCAGGTGAATATGATGTTTGTGATTTTACTCTGAGTGTGCATCCACACCGGCCAAGCTGAAAAGGTTGCTTGG